CCAGAACATTTGATAATGTGCTTCCATCTCCGAGAGATGACAGATCAATGTATGGCTACGATAGGGCTGCATGGTATTGGGTATACACTCGCTCAATACAAATGATCGTCGCGATTAATTTGAGATCAAAGAGACCTATTCCTGATCTAATAAACCCATTCGCGTCGAAGGAATGCTTCCAATTGCTTTCCCTACCGTCAGGCTATGCCTCAGGTCACCCTGCGTTCCTGCAATTTATTCTAAACCTCCATTCCTTCGTCATACAAGCTAACATGAGTGAACAAATCCTTAAAGTACTGAATTTATTGGACCCACGACACTCCTACTTTCCCATAGGGAAGAAATATTTACCTCAAAACACGACCATGTTGGAATTTCGAAATACCATTAAAAGTGACCTAGTGAAGTGCGGAAGGACAGTGTTCATTGCAAACTCAGACATCCTTGAGGCTGAATTCCAATTCGTTGAGAAACACTACACCATAAAAAAGTTTTACAAGGGGAAAGAAATCATGCTAGAGGTTCCGTTCCGCTGGTCATTTTATCGAGAAGGGTCGTCTAAGGTGCCTAGGTATATAAAGGGTTTAGTAGAGTCGGGAATATATAAACGTTTGAAGGAGGAAGATATTCGGAAAAAATATTTGAAAAGGAAACCGATTAAAAAAGTGCGAGCGGAAGAACTGTTTAAACCGGTCAAATTGTACGGGGCAATTTTAACGTTATTCGTTCTCTGTGGGAGTACCCTCTTGGCAGCTAGCTTGGGCTTGGTGGTGGAATGTCGGTACTTTATTTACGCCCTGGTGCAAAATGTTGTTACCGTTGTGGGCTATATGCTACTAAAAATTAAGTTTAAGTACTGTTACAAAAACATTACTGATACTGAAATAGATTAATGAACCATCTTTAGGGAAATCTTTTACACAATAAATAATCACAATGGTTCTGAAATGTGCATAATATACGTAACTTATTTTCTACACATGAATTTAATATCTTAAGATGCAACAAGCTTTTCAAATACGGGTTAAAAAATATTTCAATCTGTGTAAAATAATTTCTCCCTTCCGTACGACCAGCCTAATATGTATAGTTTTAATAAATCATTAATGAATCAATCTACCGGAATGGTGATAACATGCCTCCGAATTGAGGTAGTTTATCACTGGGTGGTGATATTTGTCACCTTCTGAAGCACATGGTCATTAATATGATGGTAAGCTACCGCCACCGGGTGGCATATTATCACCAGTTCGGTAGAGTCATATATATTTAGTCACCGCCCGGTGATCGTCTATCACCAGAATTCTTGTGATTCTTGTGAAGTGCATATGTTACTATCCCGCTTGTGATAAATTTAGGCTCGAAATTTAAATCAGTAAAAAAGTTGTAAACAACCAACTAGAAAAATCGGTATTTTAATTGTAACATTGAAATAGCACTTTTATCGTAATTTTGTATATCCGGAGTTTGGCACGAGTAAGGTAACTTTTCATTTATTATTTATTCGACGTATAAATATGCTCTATAATTTTGTTCATTCTTAAATAGTTCAGAAGGACATGGGAAGAGGAAAGCAACTGTCTACGCTGGCGAATGCACAAATATAAATTTTTAAAGAAGATGGCAAGACTCCGCTTCAAATTAAAAAAATGTGAGTAGATCCTCTAAGGTGTGCCGTGACTACCTTGCAAATGAAGAAAACTTTGTGTAGGAATGAGAAATAACGGAACTTGTCAAAAATATAGTAACCCCGGCCAGAATCGAACTGGCACCTCTCGTTTACCGGACAAGTATTCTACTTTTAAACTACGAAGGCTACATATAATTGCAGCCGTCAATTCTCATTCATACTCTTAACTACACTACATATTTTCCCCACATATGGCAAAAATCATCCTGGAGCAAAGAAAAAATTAAATAATAATGGAAAACGACAAATTTTCCGTGAAGCCAGCAACAAAACAATCTCCTGCGCCCAAATTAAGGCAAAACTGAAGCTGAGACTTAGTCGGCAAACTGTTTAGAGGTCATTACGAGCTAATGAAAACATTAAATTTATGAAATGAAGAGGAAACCCCCCCTCAAACCAGTCCATAAAGCCCAAACGGTTTCATGGACAAGGGAGAAAGTCGGATGGAGCGAGAAATGGAAATATGTCATCTTCAGCGATGAGAAGAAATTTAATTTGGATGGTCCGGATGGCTTTGCGTGCTGTTGGCATGATTTGCGAAAGGAGCAGCAGGTTTTTTTCAAATCCATATACCGGGGGTGGCTTTGTAATGATATGGGGCGGGTTTACGTTTGATGGAAAGACTAATCTTAGGTTCATTTCCATCAGAATCTACGCCAGATCTTATCAAAAAGTCATACAAGATTATCTACTACCCGCTGTTGATGATATCCCATTGGCCAGGCGACGAGAAATGTTTTTTCTTCAGGACAACGCTCCAATCCATCGAGCCAAGACAACAATGGACTGGCTTCGAAAGAACAATATCTCAGTTATGGTGTGGCCACCTTATTCTCCAGATCTAAATACATCGAAAATGTTTGGGGAGTAATTACTCGACGAGCTTATGCAATTGGAAGACAGTTTAATAGTATTGACGAGCTTCGTTTGACCATTTCTACCGTTTGTGATGAATTGACCACGGAAGACTTGAACAGATCCTGATGACCTTCGGATATGTGGTAGTACCCCATGAGAGAACAAAAGTGTCAAGGGGATGCCATGGCCCCATTTGCGCCCGCCACACCCCTTTGAAGGTGCGCCCAATGCTAAACTAGCCGCACTAAAACCTTCGCCAAAAATTCTATTTTGATCGGATTTTCGAAAAGGGTATATATTCTTTATCCCAGATAGTCGCTCTACCATATCCAATAGCAAAATCAGCTTTTCGGAAATTTTCACTATTGTCGAAAATTTCCCGATTAAAAAATGCAAAATTTCAGAACAGTTGAAATTGATGTCAGATATGCTAAATCAACTATTATGCTATCAACTTCAAATGATGGCATATTTTGTAATAAACATTAGCCTTCGAGGGTTTAGCTTACGATAACGAAAGAACAGTCAGGGCCACAAAGGCCACAGGAAATAAACCCTTCATGTCGGTCGTCCCTTCACCAATGAAGTGATGAGACAGTTAACAAAATGGTTCCAGCGGAAACGCCAGAATTTTAACATTGTAATTTTTTATAACTTCAAAATTCGTCATATCCTGCAAACAATTGGGTGCGGCGTAAAAAATAAAATTATGTCGTTGTTAAAACAAGGTCTCAAAAAAGGGCAATCTTAGTGAGGCTTGGTGCAAGTACAAGTTTTCAATATATTTCCTGGAACAGCATTTTCATCACGACTCTAAATTATCTTACCCTTGACGGATCAACTATTTTAAAATTATGTTCAACTAAGGGGTTTGGATGAAGTGATCAGAAGCTCCTATTAATATATTAACAAATTATTGTAAATTATTATACAAACTATATGATTAAGGTTATCGGTGGCAGTAAACAAAATAGAGCATCTTGTTATTCATTCCTCGATTGTCCCTTTCCATTATTATGAACCATGATTTATGTCAAAGCTACATCTCCCAATGTGTGAATAGATAATTTGGAGAGCGGTGATGCAAATGTGCTGTTCCGGGAAATTTATTTAAAACTTGTAGTTGCACCAAGCCTCACTAAATTGCCCTTCTTTGGGGACCTTGTTTATTTAAGACTTGTAATTGAGTAATAGTGGTCTACAGAAAATATCAACAAAATCTCAATAGAGAAATCCATCTCGGCCACTTTTTTAGGGTACCTTATTTTCGAAATTGTAAGACTTCGTAAATGCGAGTAAAATTTGAAACGGTTGAAATTGTGTATTTGTAATTTTTGGGAATTTAGTTATTTATCATTGTTTGTCGTTGTCAATGGCGTTAATTTTTTCACTGCATACATTTCATCCAATTGTTTTCACTTCTCATGGAAAAACTTTGTCATCTCTGAACCGATTTTTATCGTGCTTATCTTAAAATTTGAACAAAAATTTACTCTAAAATCTGTGCAACTAGGTATGCAACTACGATATGCCGGAAATTGGCTACAAGTCAAAATGTGTTTCCAAGGGTACATTTTGGCTAATAACTCGGGTAAAAATTAAAAATTCGCAAAGTCGATTCCTGCTTAATTCCTGCAGCCTTAATAATACTGATTTTATAACCTTGTTAAAATATTCGGTTGTGATTTACAATTGCTTTCTTATGTAGCTCACCTTTAGCTTGAATACAAGACAATAAGCAGCCAAAATTGATAATTTATTGATCACCGTCGCTTCAGAGAAATTTTAATAATTTTATGTGAAATTTTTGCAAAGCGAAAAGTGAAGTGCGTCTTGACCTTCTGCACTTTTTTGTGAAAAGCGCGGAGAATATTTTGCAGAGGGGACCCTTGAGAAACTGGTGTCTTCTCTGCACTTTTCAAAAGTTGAAGGGGGTCGACTTTTCACTTTTCACTTTTCACTCTGCAAACCACGACCGGTGAAAAACCCTCTTCTCTGCAAAATGAGTGAAAAGTTGCGTAGTGAAAAGTGAAAAGTTCCATGAAAAATGGGGCCCGGCCCCATTTTTCACTCATTTTCACTCATTTTGCAGAGAAGAGGGTTTTTCACCGGTCGTGGTTTGCAGAGTGAAAAGTGAAAAGTGAAAAGTCGACCCCCTTCAACTTTTGAAAAGTGCAGAGAAGACACCAGTTTCTCAAGGGTCCCCTCTGCAAAATATTCTCCGCGCTTTTCACAAAAAAGTGCAGAAGGTCAAGACGCACTTCACTTTTCGCTTTGCAAAAATTTCACATAAAATTATTAAAATTTCTCTGAAGCGACGGTGATCAATAAATTATCAATTTTGGCTGCTTATTGTCTTGTATTCAAGCTAAAGGTGAGCTACATAAGAAAGCAATTGTAAATCACAACCGAATATTTTAACAAGGTTATAAAATCACATAAATTCCCTAGAATGGACCTCAATAATATTTTATTTTCGAGCGATGATGACAGTGATGGGGAAAATAGTGGACAACGTCCAATTTACAAACCAAGAATCAATTTTGAGATTGCAAATGATTTCCAATTCAAGGAAAAATTTCGACTCCGTCGGACCGAAGTATGTTCGAACCTTAAACCTATACATAGAATTGACACATATCAGTTAATTATATAATACTTCTGTCTTTCTTAATTGATAATATCAGGTTCAATTGGTTCTTGATCGTATTGGCCAAGACCTCCCGATACCGCAACGATACTATTCCTTAACCCCACGAGAACAACTTTTATTAACCCTTCACTGGCTCGGCACTGGTACCTACTACCACGCAATTGGTGACATGCACGGCCCTTCAAAGTCCTCTGTCTGCTGCATAGTCAAACATGTTGTCAACGCCATTGTGGACAATTTATTTCAAGACGTGGTTCGGTGGCCGGATAACACTGATGACATCGCCCCGGAATTTTTGAGAAAAGGTGGATTTCCCTGCGTTTCGGGCTGTGTCGATGGGACACTGATAAAAATTGATGCCCCTACAATCAATGAAGAACAGTACGTCGACCGAAATGGCAACCATTCGCTCAATGTGATGGTGATTTGCGGGCCGGATTTTTCATTCTATGCCGTCAATTCTCGTTGGCCAGGGTCAGTACACGACTCCCGTGTACTTCGCACCTCCGCGGTATCGTCGCAGCTGGAAAACGGTTGGCGTTCATTTGCAGGAGCAGTAATATTAGGTAAATTGAGAGTAAATAAATTTTCGATAAATACAGTAATCCAAATAAATATGTTCAAAAATCATGTTGAAATAATATTTACATTTTATAGCAGATTCAGGCTATGGACTCAAAGAGTGGCTTATCCCTCCTCATCCTCACAATGACACTATCGCAGAAGTCCGGTTCAATCGGGCTCACAAATCAACTCGGCGTCTAGTGGAAAACGCGATTGGAATTTTTAAAGAGCGCTTTCCCATTTTAAATTTTATGCGTTTGAATCCTGCATATGCAGGGAGAATTGTTATGGCTTGCTCCGCACTTCACAATATTGCAAGTAAAGATGACTTCGATCCTCCGGTTGGAAATAACGATACGCCGCATGATGGAGGTGATCATGCTCAGAGTGGAAATATGTGCGCAAGCGGTCGAGCAAGAGTTCAAGAATTACTAAATTATTTCATTTGAAGATATGTTTATGTATCGTCTGATTTACAATTATCTCCCAAAATTCGTGCCTCGACGTTTCCACAAAAAAATTTCAGCAGTAACTAAATCTATGAATTTGGACACATTTTTTAGAAAAAATATGAAAAATTTGTATATTTTCTTTCGACCAACTTGTATCATTTACAGTAGAGATATTATACAGAAAAACAGAATGAATCAATAAAATTTAACAACACTTTAATTTAAATAGAACTTAGCTCGCTAATTCTCAAATTTGTTAACGGTAAATATATGGCGACTATATTACCACTTAAAAAATATGGAAATTTAAGCGTGAATTGACACACTTAAAAAAGTTTAAGCTAACGGACAAATGGTACTATTTCTACACACATTAAATCATAGAAATTAATTAAATAGAGCTTCGGTGAAAGTTGAAACTGGAAGGCTTAGCTCTCTTTCTAACTTCAACGCTTCAAGTCGCGTCTTGTAAACCGAAAGGTGTAATAATTCGCACTGCAATGTTCTCTTTTTAGCAAGTTGTTCTTCCTTCTCATCGGACTTTTCGACCCTCGAGTTTCGTCGCTTTTCAAGGCGCAAAAGGTGTCGCCCATTGTCTCCTTCGACGAGATCTTCGTTAGTAGACGCAGTAGACGGAACGGCATTTCCGGTTTCACCAATTGCGAGTCCTTCGACCACTGCCGTCTCGGAACCAATTATGTCTATAATTAATTTGTCCACTTCGGTGAGAACATTGTCAATTCCTCCTCCAGTACCCGTTTTGTTCTTGTTGTCACGCTTCTCCTATTGGTACGAAAACCCATTAATTAGCATTACTATTTAAATATATATTAAATTATAATTTTCAACCAGCGCCCGTGTTTTCCATACGCCCCACATTCTGTCCCGGACGAAAGCCTTGTCGCGTTCAGCAGTCGCTAGCCCCAACGATTTTGCCTTATTCACTACATCGTCCCAAGCTGCAGATTTCTCCCGCTTATCCAATTCACTAGAAAATTTACCGAAGAGGATGGATTTTTTTGATTTGATAAAATTTAAGAGAGAAATCTTCTTGATTCTCGTCTCTTGTGCTTTTGGAGCCTAAGTACAACAAATATAACATTTAAAATGATCCAATTGCTTTATTTACATTTTTGTTCAGGATTTAAAATTAACTTACCATTTTTAATTATACCAACTCGAAGAATGAAATAATTGGTGGAAATTAGAAAGAAGATTTCTAAATCGCAGGCGAAGGGTAATTGAAATGAGAAAAATTAAACTCTGCAAAATTTCTCTGCATTTGACCTTTTTCTGCAGAGTGAAAAGTGCAGAGTTCATGTCCCTACAAAAACGCGCTACCTTTTCACTTTTCACTTTTCTGCAAATGCAGAGTGAAAAGTGCAGAGTGAAAAGCGGAACCATGAAAAATGGGGCCCTGGTCTCAGGCTATGGCCTCCACGGCTGATGTGTACTACAGGTTATGCTTCTATTTGAAGTAAGTAGACAAACTTTGTGTAAGAAAATTATTACGGTACTAATTTGGGCGTGAAATATATATTTTTCTTCCGTTATTAAGTAGCGCAAGCTACCTTATGCGATCGGTTAGTTAGTCTGTCCGTCCGTCTGTCCGTCCGTCTGTCTGTCTGTCTGTCTGTCTGTCTGTCCGTGAGCACTAAAACTCGAGAACGGTTTGTCGCAGCGACCTGAAATTTTTAACACATGTTCATCACGGGGGTGGGGTGACACCCTATTAAGGGGGTGTGGCCACTTTGTCGACATCATGTCGAAAAGCGTCGCCACGCCCTAATTTCGGCATTTTTTGGGCGAAATGTATGAAATTTGGGCAAAACATGTTTTTTGGTGTTGTCGACATATCGCAATATGGCGATTAAGGTTTCGAAACTTTTTTCGACAAATTTCGTCGCCATGGCCTAATTTCTGCATTAATTGGGCGATTGGCATGAAATTTGGGCAAAACATGTTTTTTGGCGTTGTCGACATGTCGCAATATGGCGATTAAGGTTTCGAAACTTTTTTCGACAAATTTCGTCGCCATGGCCTAATTTCTGCATTAATTGGGCGATTGGCATGAAATTTGGGGAAAACATGTTTTTCGGTGTTGTCGACATGTCGCAATATGGCGACTAAGGTTTCGACGACAAATTTTGTCGCCATGCCCTAATTTCGGCATTCTGCGGTCGATATGCATGAAATTTGGGGAAAACATGTTTTTCGGTGTTGTCGTCATGTCGCAATATGGCGATTAAGGTTTCGACGACAAATTTTGTCGCCATGCCCTAATTTCGGCATTTTGCGGTCAATATGCATGAAATTTAGGCAAAACATGTTTTTCTGTTGTCGACATGTCGCAGTATACAGCATGTGGTCAATTAATTAATTAATCAATCATTAATCAATTAATTAATCAATCAGTCAATCAATTAATTAATCAATCAATCATTAATCAATTAATCAATCAATCAGTCAATTAATTAATTAATTAATTAATCAATCGGTCAATTAATTAATTAATTAATCAATCAATCAATCAGTTAATTAATTAATCAATCATTAATCAATTAATCAATCAATCAGTCAATCAATTAATTAATTGAATTACTTAATTACTTTAATTATTAAATTTAATTAATTTGAGCTTTATAGCGCAAATTAATTCTCATCATTCTCAGCATTCTCAGCATTATTGCGCTACTTATGTATCGTGCTTTGCCGCACTTTATTTTAGAAATATCCCGGTCAACTCAAATCCTAAAGCGGGTAATAATACATACATATGTATATTCTTTAAGTTTTAATTTTCGTAGGAATGGTATAAATGAGTTGAAAATGGGAAATATGAGAATACCGAGGTCTAATATTTAATTCAGACTAAACTCCGGGGAGAGGCTGTCCACATGGCCCTCTCCCAAGGGAGATTTCCGACCTGGCCAAAGATGAAAGGGTACCCACAATGTTTTTTCGGATCTACTAGGACCCTTGCTAAAGGTGTCATTCATATTTTCGTGAGAACCTCGTATTCGGCGCCACAGTCTGGCGCCAAATTTAAAAATTTGCGTTTTCGAACAGTTTCACACCCTCATAACTTTTACAGTTTCCGTGGAATTTTCAAAATTTTCTGTGTAACTCAACCAATTTCATACTGAACAATAAAAATTTTGGCTCTGGAAATTCTGAAATGAAACATAACAAAATTTTTATTTTTGATATATTTTTTCGATAACTCATGTCTACAAGAAGTCTTAAAATTTTCAAGAAATTGATAGAAACGAGGTTTTAAAAAAATTCCTGGAATTCGAAGGCTTAACCATATCTCCTGATTTTTGTAAAAAATTTTAAAACAAGTCAAGAGTTTGAAAAGTTATTTTTTGTTATTTTTTAAAATAAAAACATTCAAATTTGGCGCCAGGACTACAAATATGAGCCTTACACGGAAATTTGACTGATTCGTTCATCTCGGGTCCTACAGGACCCTAAAAAAAATCTTGGGTACCCTAAAATCTTTGGACACCCAAAAAAGTGCCCAGCCTGATGTACCAATTTCTTTAATCTACAGAAGTCTACATGAAGGGGACATGTGGTTCTATCAGCTTTAAATCTGCCCCAGTCCCCACTGCCCTTGTGAATTCCGATATTGGTGACATCTACGAATTTTACAAGCACTTTTATGGGGGCCAAGTAACTCTGCACAAATAAATAACTTTCTGCACCCATTAAAATATTCACTACACGGTTTTGATATTTATTTATAGAATAACATCAACATCAATTTCTACTTCGCGGGAAGTGATAAGGTACAAGGAAAGCAACGACATAATAAATAACTTACACACTCTACATAAAAATAAGTAAAGTTTGTTCAAGGTTGCGTAAAATGGAGGGTAGCACAATCAAGAGGTAAAATCTCCAAGGTTTTGCCCGGTTCAAAATTTTGCGCTACGGTTGCATAAATTTTGGTTGTTTTACTTGACTTTGAGCAAATTTAACATATTTTTATTTGGACTATTCTGGAATAATTTATTACAAACCATTTTTCATTACTTTTATTATCTATGTAGTTTATCGGGCAGATAGCTATGTTTAATCCCTCTTACTTCGATGGCTGGTATGGGGTATCGAAGAAGTTTGAGATGTACGATCCAGCAATACGACCCACGACGAAATGGGATATAAAACGAGACGGAAAACCGAGCACCCTCGTCATGCACTTCATGATTGATAACCGGATCGAGAATGACACATATGCACGATTAAAGGAAAAAAATCTCAAGACCGTCGTCCTACAAGGGAAGAGTTCCGACTAATGCTCAGAGCTCGGCGGATATTGGATGCAAACCTACAAATATCCAGGTCAGCATCACACCCACCAATATCCAAATATCCACATCTATGAAAATTTATTGCCTTTCAACCTGTAAATAAGCTAAATTCAAGATATCTGCCGAGCTCTGCCAATTTTGCATAGAATTTAATGAAATGTATCGCTTCACAATAAAAACGGTTGGGTCATATTCAATAAATATGTAAATAGTTTCTACGTCTATTCACTTTATGGTCTAATGATGAGCGTGCTCACAACAACGTCTTACAAGGGACGATCACGAGGTGTCGTTCGCGTTCAGGGTACTCACTATGTTTTTTAGAATCTACTGGGACCCTAGATGAAAGATCCATTCACATTTCCGTGTAAAACTTATATTTGGCGCCGTAAAGTGGCGCCAAATTTAAAAATCTGCACTTTCGACCAATTTCAAACCTCGATCACTTTTCAAATTTCTGTGAGATTTTTAAACTTCTGGCCTTAATCTGATGACAAAGGTCAAGGCTTAACGAACTAAATAAAAAATTACCAATTTTATTTTTGGGATATTTAAAAAGAAAATTGAAATTTTGCAAAAATTTAAATCAATTTTTGGAAAAATTTCCTCGCATGCGAAAGCTGAACTCTCTGTCATTAATTCAGTCAAACATTTTGAAAATTGGTCGAGGATTTAAAA